TGAGGCGTTACACTACTATTATAGAGGCTTTGGTATATAAATAAGCTTAATCATTACCAATGACTTTATTCTTAATTATTATGGAGATGATGTAGATAATAATATGAAAGAATTATTAGTTGATAAAATTACTTATTCCATTTTGACATGTATTATAGTGTCTGGGAGCCTATTCTTGGCCAAAAACGTATATATAAATTTTTCGTTAGACGTGAAGTCAATGAAATAAAAATTTTAAATATTAGAGGCTGTCTTGTACTACTTAAAGAATGTGATTATTCTTTGTCACTACAAGACTTTGACTTTTTGCTTGTGTATAGTGGAATTTTTATATTTAATTTATTTAATTACATAATGCAGAATTATTGCTCAACATCTTGGTTAATTTCTAGAAGTTAGTTTTATTTATTATAGTCTGATTAATTTTACTCAATGAAAAATACAAAGTAAATTGAAATTTTTGTAGAAACATAAAACTTGAAGATATAATATTTAGCAGGAATGTCGGAGGAAATTAAGCAAAAAGAATTAAAAGAAACTAATAATTAAAGAAGAAAAAATATTACATTTGACGTCTATCACCCAACAAAACTAATAATAAATTATTTTATAAAAATTATAGTGATAATAATAATGATGATAATAATAATAATAATTGTGGTCATTGTTGACTATTACTCGACAGCCTCAATATATTAATAATAAAAATATTACATTTGACGTCTATCACCCAATAAAACTAATAATAAATTATTTTATAAAAATAATAGTGATAATAATAATGATGATAATAATAATAATAATTGTGGTCACTGTTGACTATTACTCGACAGCCTCAATATATTAATAATAAAAATATTACAATAATTTTTCTTTTCATACACACAATAATGATTCATTGGTCAATATTTGCATTTATGCAAGATGCTTGCGCTGGTTTATCTTCATAAGTGAGGTTTACATCTTCCATTCTAATCCCACTGCATGGCTGCTCTGAACTGCAATCCAACATAATGCCAACTTTTGTTGCAGATGTTCCATGGATATTTTCATATGTGATCTCACTAATTTTAATACCAGATACCTGCCATATAAAAACCAATTAATACAAAAGAAAAATTATCCAATGATTTAGTATATATACATCTATGATTATACCTTGTGAGGGCAGTGTTTATCAGGGCAGTATTGTTGATCAATTATGATGGGATTTTTGACCTTGTTCATCACAACATTTTGAAAATGAATGTTTCTGGCATAACCACTGCTGGGTCTCCCCCATGTCTTGATCCTTAACCCATTTTTAGTACCACTTAATCTCACACTCTTCACTGTTACATCTTCCACACCTGCCTCCTTAAGCTCTTTGCCTAGACTCCCAATGCTGCAACAAAATTAATCATAACCACAAATATTTAATCATTCTTTTGTCATGACAAAAATTTCATCAAACCATTTTACATTCAAACTAAAACCATATGATGACAGGAAGAAGTTTCCAAATGTATATAAACTATTATAGATCTTTACATTGTGATCAATATGAGATTATATTCTTATAAATCTAATAAGATAAACTTAATCAGGTACCTAATTCCATGTCCAGGACCACATGCGATATTCTCAATCCATAAATTAGTGGTGCCAGGCCCAACTGAGATGCAATCATCTCCAGTAGCAATCCTAGAGTCGAAGATGGTGATATCTTTAGACAATTGTACGTGAATCCCATCTGTATTAGGACTGTCCCCTGAGGCTGACACCTTAGCCCCTTGCACCTTAACATTGTAGGACTCCTCTATCACTATGTGATACAACTGGCTATTTACTGAAGTAACTCCATTCAACTCGATATTGCTCGATCTCTTAAATCGTAGTGTCTGCAAATTCATTTGCTAATCAAATTAATCATATAAGCTAAAACAAATTGATTATGAGCGAACTTACTGTTGCACCCTTAGGACAGCCTTTGTGAGACTTCTTGCAAGCCCATAATGAAGCACCTTGACCATCAAGAATTCCACCGAAGATGGATACTCCATTGACACCCTCAAATAATACCCAATTTTCAAAAAATTTAGTGACTTTATAGGGAGGAGCCACGAGAGTACCCTCGATTCGGATTGATATATTGTTCTTGCATTTGCCTTGGAACACAGCATTATGCAGCAAGAATTTACCAACTGGCACGTAAATGGTGGCAGGGTTTATTGAGCTGCAAGCTTCGTGCCATGCAGCAATGAAGGCTTTTGTGGAGTCTGTAAGGCCATCCGGTTTGGCTCCATAGTGCACAACATTGAATGTCCTAGTACTTGTAGGGCTTGCTGATGATGTCTTAATACAGAAAAAGAAAAAGATAAAAATAATGATGACCACAATAATATGACTCACTGAGTTTACCATTAAGTTTGCCATTTCTATCGTACGTATCTATATGTATGTATATGTTTGCGGTGAAAGTAACTGTTTGGTTACTATATGTCTATATAAGATTACATACGAGAAGAGGAGGCAGAGGAAGGAAGTTCTCCAAATATTTTGAAATGTATTTATAGGTATGAGTTACAGTTGAGTTTGGCTTGGCATGATCCAGAAGCAGTTGTTACGCCCATATTATGAGGCTTTTGTTCTGCTCCATCAAGCTTTGCTTTAAATCTTGTCTTCCTCTACTAAAAAGAAATCATTTATTTCTAGTTACATTTGCCTTTTTGTATGACTTACGACATTTAATGTGCCTTGTGTTTCTGGTAATGATTAATATTAATGCTGCCTGAATTATAATTATAATTATAATTATAATTACTAATGTAGAGGAACTACCTAATTAATCCGGAACTAATTATTTTCATAGTCTTCTTTACCATCAGAATATTTTTGGATCAACTTTTTTATAAAATGACGTTAGTAAATATTTTTTCCCAATAATTTGAATTGTACTCCTTGTGATTTTGCTCCCAGAGTAGTGCTTTATATATACATATATATACATGCATACATGTATTTGTGGATATCATTATAGCTAGTATTTACGCCATGGAAGGACAAATAAAAGGTTGCTTGTAGCAGGAAATTTAATTGTAAATGGTTAGCTAATATTTATATTACGTATTCATATAGCATAATATACAAATCAAACAAAGCAATTAAAGTGTTGACCGTTAATATAAGTGACACGGAAAACATGCAAGAAAGTTCTATATCTTCTTCTACGCTGCCATGTATGTATCTTTTATTCACACTTGTTGCTTTAAATAGCTTCTCCTGATATCTCTTTATTTCTGTATAAATAGCTTCTCCTCTACGTTCTTTAGTTAACCAGAATAATTCCCACAATTTTGTTTTCTTTTTTTCATGAAAACGAGCATAATAATTACTTCATTTTGCAACAAAAAAAAAAATTTGTATAAATTTTCCAATTATTTCGCCCATGAAACTAAAGATTTCACGTTAGCTAGTTTGATGTTCCTCACCAAAAAGTGAGAGTTGTATTTAGGCTTGTTATATGTTCCATACATATTATTTTGGATGCTAAACTTGAATTAAATGTGAGGAAAAATGACTTCTAAATCTTAACATAGATAAATTTTGTATGTTCAATTTCATATATTTCAGACGCTGTATGAATTTAAAGATATAAACATTATGAATTTAGAGTATGATTGATTACTCGAATACGAACCCGACTCACTCTTATAAAATACAAATCAAGACTCATCCTAATCTAAAATAGGTTTGAAATTTTTTTAATTCTTTAGACTATTTCGAGTTTATTAATTATTCAGTATGCATTTGATCTTA